GAAATTTAATTAGGATACATATTCTTTTTCAAAATAATGACATTTGTGATATTTTTACTAATATTTTTAAAATAGTGAAGTTTTTACTAATTAAGTTATTAATTTTGACTAGTTTGCTAATTTTCCCTTAAAAGATAAATCTATATGTTAATTTGTATTTGTTTGTTTTGGAGTAGTTGAGAAGCCAAAGTCAAATACATAAATAAAAATAAATAATAAGAAAAGAAAAAAATTAACTCACGAGGCATCATTACATGTTACGTATGGGTTTTACGATGCTGAATTTAATTTTATTATTTTATTTTGTATCAATAAAATTACTCAACTAAATTTATCATTAAAAATTATTACATTTCAAAGTAAGTATTTATTTTGGCTTGGTAAATATAGACCTCACGAGTAAACAAAATTATAAGAAAAATTTTAGTGGACAAACTTAATTAGTAAAACAAATATTATAATTGTTACTTCATATTTCAACCTTACAATGTATCGATGTTTTTCTAGCAAAAAAGTATCATACTCAAAACTTTTGGACTTTTCAACTCTCTCAAATCCACCAAATATCCTAATCTCGCTGAGGATTTATTACATGCACACCATCCTTCCTAAATTCAAAGTTATCTCGAAAGACTTAAAAAATTTCTTGAATATTCTGACAAATGCAAAATTAGTTAAAATGACGAATAACAATATCTCAATATAGTCCTACAAATGGGATTAGCAGAGGATAAAATATACACAGACCGTACCTTTAACTTGACAAGTAGAAAACTTATTTTCGATAGACCCTCGACTCAAGAAAAAACATTTCGGCTAAAATAGAGGGAAAATATCCAGATAGTTTTTCACTTTCACTAGGTATGGTGGTGATACGAGTTGACTTAGAAGTAACATTGAGGATTTATATAGCCAACTTCAACTTGTTTTGATTCGTGAAAAAATTGATAGTTTAGAAGGAACAAGCTCCACCAACACCTTTGGGAATATGTGTGTGTATCTCTACCGGCTTACCCAATATTTGGCACTTTCCATGATTGCAACATGAACAAATTTTGTTCATGATCAAATTACAGATAAGATGTATGACCATATAATAATGTTAACTGTTGTCTTTTATCATATTATTTACTTTGATTCCGATAAACTAAATACTTTTTTTGCAACAAACACAGAGGTAGCAAAATCGGTATAGAAGTAAGAGGGCCCTTCAAACTCTTTCAAGTTTAAGTCAGATGAGCCAATAGGAGAGATTTCCTACCCCTAATCATCAACATATAAGAGCCAATTTGTCCCAACAAAACACTGTTATAGAGGAAACTTATAATATGCAACATGCAACAACATACTTGATAAATGGGTCAGTATACATGTCTGTCGAAGATTGACAACAAATTTTAAAGTGACAGAAACTGAAAGAGGGTCGATTTATTTTTCTCGCACACCACTCTAGGCAGTCTTACAGCGACTGTAATACTTCAGCCTACTTACACCCACAGAATTGACTAAGTATAGAAATACTTAAACAGCAATGTCAAACAATAAACAGGCAGCATTTACAGGACCAAGTCTCAACCTTTATTAATCAATAATTAATACAAAGGAAGA